CTCCCCCCTCTCTCCCTAGGCTCTCACATGGACCTCCTACCTAGGCGCGCCTCCTCCTCCATGGCGGCAAAAGAGGCCACCAGCGTCCCAGAGCTTGTCGGTCTTCCCCGCATCTCCATGCCACTACGCCAGAGGACCTCACCACCGACGACCAACCCCGGTGCTACCTCCATCTCCTTCCTCTCTCCCTCATTTTTCTTTTTATCTCTTTCCCTCTGGTTTGACTCACCCTCGCATGTCCTTGCCCATGTAGGTCATATCCATGGAAGCTCGCTGCCTTTGCTGCGAAGAGGAGCCCCACACTACCGCCTTACTCGGCCATGGATCCGAGCCCTTTGCAGAAGGCGTCGTCGGATCTGGTCTGCCGCTGCCCTTCCGCACCTCCGGCGACCCCTGCCATCGCTAGATCAAACAATTGCTGCCATTGACAGCATGCACGAGATCGAGAATTTTTTGTTTTTGAAATTAATAGTAGTAGCGCGGGTGCACCCGCGCCACTACTACAAGTTAGCTATAGCGTCGTAGTAGTAGCGCGGGCACCCGCGCTACTACTAGGATTTTTCCCTAGTAGTAATGACAAGCATGGACAAACTCTTATATAAAGCAAGGTGCTCCCGAGGACATATGGGAATTGTTGTCAAGCTAGTTTTCATCATGCTCATATGATTCGCGTTCGTTACTTTGATAATTTGATATGTGGGTGGACCGGTGCTTGGGTGTTGCCCTTCCTTGGACAAGCCTCCCACTTATGATTAACCCCTCTCGCAAGAATCCGCAACAATGAAAGAAGTATTAAGGTAAACCTAACCATATCATGAAACATATGGATCCAAATCAGCCCCTTATGAAGCAACACATAAACTAGGGTTTAAGCTTCTGTCACTCTAGCAACCCATCATCTACTTATTACTTCCCAATTCCTTTCCCTAGGCCCAAATAATGGTGAAATGTCATGTAGTTGACGTTCACATAACACCACTAGAGGAGAGACAACGTACATCTTATCAAAATATCGAACGAATACCAAATTCACATGATTACTTATAACAAGACTTCTCCCATGTCCTCAGGAACAAACGTAACTACTCACAAAATATATTTATAATCAAGATCATAGGAGTATTAATTATCATTAAGGATCTGAAAATATAATCTTCCACTAGATAAACCAACTAGCATCAACTACAAGGAGTAATCAACACTTCTAGCAACCCACGGGTACCAATCTGAGGTTTTGGGACCAAGATCGAATACAAGAGATGAACTAGGGTTTGAGAGGAGATGGTGCTGGTGAAGATTTTGATGGAGATTGACCCCCTCTCAATGAGAGGATCGATGGTGATGACGATGGCGACGATTTCTCCCAGAGGGATGTTTCCCCCGCAGAACAGCTCCGCCGGAGCCCTAGATTGGTTCTCAGGTTCCGCCTCGAGACGGCGGCGCTTCGTCCCAAAAGTTCCTTCTGAGTTTTTCCAGGTCAAAACACACCATATAGCCAAAGATGGGCACCGGAGGCCTGCCAGGGGGCCCACAAGGTCGGGGGTGCGCCCTGGGGGGTAGGGCGCGCCCTCCACCCTTGTGGCTGGCTGGTGGCCCCCCTCTGGTACTTTCTTCGCCCATTATTTTTTATATATTCCAAAAACATGCTCCGTGAAGTTTCAGGACTTTTGGAGATGTGCAGAATAGGTCTCTAATATTTGCTCCTTTCCAGTCCAAAATTCCAGCCGCCGGCATTCTCCCTCTTCATGTAAAACTTATAAAATAAGAGAGAATAGGCATAAGTATTGTGATATAATGTAATAATAGCCATAATGCAATAAATATCAACATAAAAGCATGATGCAAAATGGACGTATCAGATAGGCAAGCATAGAAGTGCTCTCGAAGTGGAGTAATAGTAGTAAGATGCAAATGGATGTCGCTCTACTTGTCATGGGCAGAATGCCTATGTACTGATCATGCCATGAATAACAACATAACTATGCACCTTTTTATCAATTTTGCAATAGTAATTTGCTCACCCACCGTTTGGTATGTTCTTGAGAGAGATCCCTCTAGTGAAAGCTACGGCCCCTGGGTCCATTTAAATCATATGACTAAAACCCTAAATACCTTGCTGGAATTTATTTACTTTTATTTAGTTTTGCAATTTATATATCTCCTACTATCAGAATAAATCCTTGCAATTAACGACTCCAAGGGGATTGACAGCCCTCTTGCCGACGTAGGGTGCAAGGATTTGCTCTTGTGTATGTAGGTACTGCTAAAGGTCATTTGCGTGAATATCCTATTGGTTCGATAAACCTTGGTTCTTTACTGAGGGAAATACTTTCTGCTACTCTACTACTTCATCCTTCCTCTTCAGGGAAATCTTAACGCATTTCACAAGTAGCTGTGCTTGATGGGCCCATAACGCCACCCCATGCGGACAGGGGGGGCATGCGTGGCTAGGCCGCATGGAGGCCTCATGGCTCCCCACTAGCACTTCTTCGGTCCTCCCATCTTCTTATCTTCCATAAAAATTCCTTTAAAATCCCCAGTCAATTTGGAGCACTTCTATTTCTAATATCACGATGGCAATTCTGCTGTAAACAGTGTTAGTCTAGCTTGGATTCATTCAAATCATGCAAATTAGAGGGTAAAACAATGTCAAAAGAGGTTGAAAAGGTAGATACGTATGGCACGATCAGTATAACTTTGAACCATTTATATTGATATTTCTACATAAATAACAACAATGAAACATATTAAGAAGGTACAAGAAGGGAAATTTTGGAAGGAAAAATATTTACCACTCTCTTCTCTACAACAATATTAACAATTCACGTAGTTATTATGATGCATATGTGGTAGCATGCTCAATTGCATGCGTGACTTTGCATATTGTGCACTTATTTTTATCATTAATTTTTTTGAGATCATGTCACATATGGTAGGGTGCTGTTGGTTTATGAGGAGAGATCTGTTCTCATAAGTCTCATTGCATACATATTATTATTCATTGCATGACATTATGTAATTTACTGTTGTTAACGTACTCGTGTATTAACCAGTTGCAATCCTGGTTTCACGACAATAGTCCCAAGACATGGAGCCGATGGAAAAGGTTATATGTTGGCCAACATGTAAAAGGTTATATGTTGTTTGATGTAGTTTCTTATGTGGCATTCATATGTTTTAGCTTGTCACTCATGTTGTTATTATATTGTAACAATTTGCTGCCTAGCACTGCCCTACCTTAGTTATGACACTGTAATTACCCACAAATAAGTTACGACAGTGATCGTGCATCTATTATGCAAAGAGCGAGACTAATAAATCTTATTATCTAAGTAAAAAAAACATGTTTGTATAGTAAAAAATCAAATGCACAAGAATCTTTTCAAACATTTTTCACATGGCATAAATCAGATTTACTTATTCAGTTATTCATGATTTATGTGTAGTAATTACATGAAAATGTGTGTGCCATCATTATATGGTTTTTGAGAGGTTTATCGACCCCATCACATTTCAAACAACTGATTGCCACATGTCCTTCAAAAGAAAGGGTGTCATGCCAAAAAAGAAACAACGAAGCCATTTAACAAGACCAGATTGAGTAAATCATCCCTCATAGCCAAATGTCAAATCCAATGATTGTAACTAGAGATTAATTTGCAGAGATGCTAATGTAGGTTATTTTGTTATGTTACAACGATCATGAGAAACAAGTGAATTCATGTAGTGTTTGACACGTATATCATTGATGGTAAGACCTAGGGACCCTCATATTAGTGGGTATTATTCTGATTAATTCAAGAAAGAAGATATGCAGGTGTATTTCTGTAGAAACAAATATGGAGATGCACAACTGTTGTCTAAATATAAGCGATGTTAGTTTACAGAGCGACAAATGTTCGTCTTTGGTCATCTAACGACGAGCATGAGAAACAAGTGAATTCCGGTCATAGCAACTCGAAACGGCGGTAATGCCTTCTGTTGCTGCTCTGAAGATACCACCTATAGGAACCCGCATAGTTCTTCGTAATTTCTATAAAGTAAGAAACTAAAGATATGCAAATATATACTTATTTCTAGACTAGAAGCAAATATGCTACAGATGTCTAAGATAAGTGATGGTGCATACCAATAATAGATACATCATGGGGAAATGTAATGCAGGAATATACACACAGTATAAGGATAACGAGCCATGGCATGACAACAAGGGGGGAAAGGCCACACAGTTCCAGAGCAGGCCAGTTAGCTACCTCGCTAACTAGGTAAACTGTTGCCAATTGATGCATTGCAGGAAGAAATCAGGATAAAAAATACCATATCGATCTCAAGAAAAGATATATATATGAATGGCATGTCCCTGTTGATGGTACTACATTATTGTGCAAGTTTTTCACACACACCCATGCAAGTGCAACATGCATAAGATACAGAGCAGCCCACCAAACAAGCATCCATCATCATCACCACATCATTCTTGTCTCTTTGTATGCTGTAAACACAACTCATGGCCTAATCGATGTAACATGCCACGTCTACACCTAATGCATCATCTATCCTGCCACTTTGCTTTCTGGTGGTACTACACACCAAGAAAATTTCAGTTTCCATTGCTCTTGTTGCAATGCACTTGTCGATCACATGGTTCGTGCGTACCCCCTGTGGCCGGCGCTGCCTCGTTTGCTTCAAACGGTTTCGACGGCCTCGAGAACGGCGGCCGTGAGGCTCTTGTGCACGCTCTCGCCGTCGTCACGGGCGGCGGAGAGGATTCTGTCCTCGTCCTGATCATCGGCGGCTTTCTTCTTGCTCTTGGTGTACTCGCCGTAGAGGTAGGAGGACAGGCCCCAGACGCAGAGCGCGGTGGCGACGGCCTTCTCGGCGCCAAACGGGTCGCCGAACACGACGACGCCGCCAATGACATTGGCCGTGAGCACCGCCGCCATGCACACGCCGCTGTGGAGCGACGACGTCAAGTAGATCACGCCGGCGGTGCCCATGAAGCACGCCTGCCATGTCACGACCAACGTTGCCACCACGACCCAGTAAACGGCGTGGGACCCCTTCCAGGGGGCCACGTCGTTGGCGAAGCCGCCGGTCGCCGCGAGCCCGATCGCTGCCACGACGGACGCCATGGCCTGCATCACTGCCTGCACCTCCACCGCCAGGATGAACCCGCCGGAGACCACCTCCCTATACAACAGCTCCATCACCGGCAGGTATGCAGAGAAGAGCCCTGCGGCACCGAGCGTGACGACGAAGCCGATGATGTACCCCTTCCTGTCCGGGCTCTCGCCGGCGTCGCCTGACCGGAGGGCGAGGAGCACGGAGCAGAGCGTCATGAGCACGACGGCGTTGAGATTGACGAAGGTGAGCGGGTGACGGACGATGGCGACGGCGAGGACGAGCGTGAAGGCAAGCTGCGTGGAGAGCAGCAGCGACGAGGTGGACACGGGCAGGAGCGAGGAGCTGTAGGAGAAGAGAAGGTTGTTGACGCCCATGAGACCGCCGATGACGAGGCACACGGCCAGGAACCGCCGCGAGAACCAAAGAAACGGCCGCGGCACGGAGGCGGGGCGGCCGGCGAGGAACACCGCGACCACCAGCGTGGGGAACCCCGCCGACTGCACCAGCGTGACCACCCACTTGTTCTGCCCGCCGTGCTCGAAGTAGAACCGGGACAGCAGGCTCGAGGCCACCGACCCGACCAGCAGCGCCGCGTAGTTCACCATCAGGAGCACCGCCGACCTGCGGCGCCGCGGCGCCACCGGGGCCGAGGAGATCGCCATTGCCGCGCGCTCTCTCGATGCCGTCGTCAAGGAAACAATCGATGGCGATGGCGATGGCGATGGAGATGGAGATGGAGATGGAGATGGGCGTCGCGGTTTGTATGTAGGCGGCATGTATGTATATCGGGTAGCAGGGGGGCGATTTTGTGGTTGGCGACCGGAGGCAAGGAGATAAAGGATGCTAATTGCGTAGAGTGTGGAGAATTCATGGAAGGTTTTACACGGCGCGGCCTCTTCCGTTTCTCTGCTTTTCTTGGTGGCTGGATGTGAAAAAGATAGGCGTCAGTTATCATACGTTACTAGTCTTATTTTGGCACTAACTGATCACGGCAAAACTTGGAAATTACTCATGTCAACATTTATTTGCTAGACAGAGATATCTAGATCATGAAGAGGTAACCATCACCTACAGATATACAGTATATTTTTTCGAGAAGACCAGGAAATAATTAATGTGCTCTTATTTTTCAAAAAAAAATATTTTTTTTATGTGCTCTTCTGCCTGTATAGTTTTCTTAGAGCCAAACCCTTGTGCATTTCGAAATGCATGATGCATTCATTCAGTGATCAAAGCTTGGAACCAAATCCTTTTTTTTAAGTTAGCTTGGAACCAAATCGATGGATATCTTGCAGTGTGTAACTTAGCCTTTTAACTTATTTGATTGATGGATTGATTGTTGGTCCATGGGGGCAGAAAATCCATATGATTGATCGTGCATGAATCAGTTAATGCAGAACAATCGTGTGAAACTGTGCAAGAATATATATGTGGCTGATCGATCGGATCCATTCTACGGCGTGAAAAACGGTTTGTTTCAGATTGGGATCGTTGAGAATGTGCTTGGGCCGTTTAAGGAAATAAAACGAATGCAATGGGATTGGAATCCTACTTTCTCGGTTTGTTACCTATCCAGAATTGCCCCGTATCCATTTATAGAGTTGTGGTTATGGGTTAACATACAAAGGGGAATTATTGGCGGCTCGATGGCCTAACATCCACATGCTGTGTTCTGCGGTTTGTGTGCATGTGCTTACACACTAGGCCGGAAAACTACAATTCCTTTCTCTCAAAGAGGTGCCTAAAGATGGAGAACTCCATTCTCAAAAAAAAGAGAGAGAGAACTCAAACCTCATCTCAATTATCTGCCCTGTCACACATAAGTCATATCTATATCAATATAAAAAGACCCAAAGGGGCAGATCCAACTGATCTCAGCCATCGAACTAAGTTAATCCAACGATCTAGACTGCTCCAATGGCGAGCATTAAACATGTTTAACGTGCAATTAATATCATACCAAATATTGCACTAATTACAGAATTAACACACAAATAATAGCATACCTAAAATCCACATGCAATTAATATATTACCTAAATATTTAACGTGCGTCGCACGTGCGCATTTACTAGTGCTATATATAAGGGTATCCATACTGACATAGTGTATACTTAGGGCATCTCCAGCACTCCTCATCAAATCGCCTATGTATGTCAGGACAGTCTGCACACTTTTAGACCTCCCACATTGATGCCCGGCCAACTGGCACACTACATGAGAAGTCTACTCTGGTTTTAAAGCGCCAACCTCCCCTC